CTCCACCCGCCACCTCTGCTCCAGGTCCCCGCTTCCCTGCTGGCTTTGATGCTCCTTCCCCACCCCCATCAGGGAGCCACTGAGGGAGCTGGGAGGGAAGGAGAAGCCAGCATCTTCCTTCCTTGGGGACTTCTGAGAAATCCCTTTCCATATGGTTCCCGGCTCTGTTGCGACCTTGCTGGGATGCTCTGCTTGGGGGGTGAATGGGTTTCTCCACAGTCCTGGGGAGAAGCAAAATGTTCTCTTGCTCAGGGTAGCAGCTGTTACATCCCCAAAAAGGGCTTGCAGCTTGGGCTGTTAGGAGCCATTTGGTCCTGGTATCTCAGTGTCCCCTTTCCTTTTGACCTACAGATTTTATCACTTAGACTGCCTTTTTTTAAAAACAGTGTGTACAAAGCCTGTTAGATATTCGCTCTATTCCTTCATTCACGCCACAGCTGTTCTGAGCTGGGCACAAGGTACAGAGGCCAAGGAGGCAGAGTCTCTGCCCTTGGGGGGCTCATGGTAGGTGGGGGAGACAAACCCACGAAGAGAGGAGTGACCTGGATGCCCCTTGTTTCTCCTGCTAGCGGACCACACTTCCCTTTAATGCATGTGCAGTGATAATCTGAAGCCTCAGTCTCCAAGACTTCAGGAAATCCTCCCACCAGGTTTCCTTTCCCAAGGACCTCTGAAAATTCTTTCATGTCCTACTTATTTGTGGTTATCACTTGTCGCCTCTGTCCGGATCCCTGGCCTGGACCTCTGCAGGGCCTGCCCTCCCTGGACTCCTTCTGCCCATAGCACTTTGTCTAACAAAGTCGGGTTCCCGGGGAGCCCCAGGCTTCAGTCTCTCCTCTGCACTCTCTCCCTAGGTGATCTCATTGGTTTCATGGCTTTTAAATACCATCTACCTGCCAATGACTTTACAAATGTCTATCACCACCCCTGACATCTCCCCCAGGCTCCAGGCTCTTATATCCAACTGCCTGTTTGTTATCATCACATGGAGGCCAGGTAAGCGATTGAAACTTAACGAAGCCCAAACTCCTGATTCCCTGCCCTGCTGTGCACGCCCCAACCTCTCCCCACCCAGTGCCTCCATTTCAGGGGACATTTCAAGACATTGCATGCTGCTCAATCTACAAACCTGAAAGGCACTCCTGATTCTTCCCTTTGCTCACCCCCAGCAGCGAGCCCTGAGGCCACCAGGCCCGTCCTGAATCCCCCCACTTCTCTCCATCTCTAGTCACGTGTACTCCCCCCC